GGGTAGGTGAGTCGGCTACTAGGAAATGGAGGAGAGGCTGGCGATGGCGATGGTGATGGGTAGGTGCGGCTAGGGTTTCTTTGGCTCTGATACCAAGAAGAGAGTTGTACAATATTGGCTTACCCTAATTTGGGTGAGACCGTGTCTATTTATAATCAATATAAGATACACAGGAAAAAAGAATTAAATAATTACATCAAATCCCTAAATGACCTTAATTTATAGAAATCACGGGATTTCTTAAATATACAATATTCTGTATTCTAACAACACTTACATTGGAATTTTGAATGGAAGATCACGTGAAACACACGTAGAATTCTAAGCAATTTTCACAAATGAAAACACAATGATAAATTGCACTGATGATGCCAACACATTGACACACAAATCATCAAGCAAAAAAATAATAGAAAACCAAAATCGAGATAGAAAACACATTGACACACAAATCAAACCATCTCAATCAAACTTGATAAGAATGCCCACATATAATGATTAATCATCAACAAAAATGATCAGAGAAAAAAAAATGTAACATCACAAAATTGCTTCTCTATTAGAAATAGAAATAAATTATCCACATTTCATGTTTTAATCAAATTAATGCCAATAACACTGTTAGATGCCAACACCTTAACATGCAAATCATCAACAAGCAAAAAATAGGAACCCAAAAAGGGGCAGATTTAAATAACTTGATTGAAAATGAACAATCACAGATACAAAAAAATAAAATAAAATATAAATTGAATAATCAATCACATATACAAGTTTTCAATTAAAACAAATGGTTTAAAATCAAACGAATTGAAAAGGATAGCTGGAAAAAAAAATTAGGCATGTAAACTAGATTATTAATCCAAAAATTTTTAAAAAAATTCTCACAAAATAAAGATAAAACAGATGGGTATGAGAGATTATACCAAAAACAATAGAATCAAAGCGAGAAGAATTCACAAGGACCTCTACTCCTCCAGTCCCAGTTCTCTCTACCTCAACAACCTATTGTATGTTGAGTCAACGAAAGCATCGTCATGGCTACTTCAATTCAAAATGCTCGACCCTCTCTCTTCTCTCTCTCTAGAGTTTTGCGAAGTGGAAGTGAGTCGGGCAGGCAAGATATAGCTGATTGCGATGTTTGCAATATGGATGTTCTTGGATAGAAAAACAACACATGCAAAATTGTGGGGGTCGTAGTGGAATTCAATAGGAAAATATAGGGATTACCAATGTATTTTTTTGCTTGTGTGAAAATTGATAAAAATCGCATGTGACTTGCACATGGTCATTTTCCGTTTAAAATTCTAAAGGTAAGTGACAAACAGACCACATTGCAACAAAAATGAAAGTACATGGTTAAAATTGCTGAAATTGAAATTAGGAGGATAAAAGTGAAACCTTGCTTGATTTACAGAGATTAATAGTATAATTTACCCTTAAAAATATATTTATTCCACTAGGTGTCTTGAAGCCTTTATTTCTCAATTGTGTGGCAATGCAAAACAGAGAAGCTAAGAGAGATCAATCAATTGGACAAATGATATCTGTTGTTCCAACCCACATGCATGAAAAACATGGGAAGGTAACCAACCAAGCTTGGCAGCCACCAACCATAGCAAAGGTCAAGAATGGAGGCTACCCAAGTCAAGAATGAAGGCTCTCCCACCTCCTCTTCCGGCACCCTTGACTCCCTCCCGCCATTATCGCCACCATCACCACCACCGGAAACTTCTTCAATACCTGCTTGTACTTTGGATCCAACCACCTCCGAACATCTCCGACCCAACCACCTCCGAACCCGACCCATCTCAGTACCTCCCGATCTCCCATGTTCCCAGCGGCGGCACTCACCACGCCGGCCCAGGTGCTTTCGGAAACCTGTGCCGCGGCGGCCGCATGTTCGCTCCGCCCAAGATCTGGCGCCGCTGGCACCGCCGCACTCACCCACGTCTTCATATCTCCGCTCTTCGCCTCCGTCAACACCTTCTCTCCGGGACCCACATCCATCAACTCGACCGATTTATTGAGTTGACTCTGCGCATCATCGCACAGACTCACACAGTCCTTCACGGCGGAGACAGATCGAGCCTCGTTGGATTTGGAGATGAGGGTTTTGGGGAGCGAGTTGAGATCGGTGAGTTCTTTGGCGGCGACTCGGAGAGAGAGATTGAGAATGAGTTCGGGATCGGCTTTGGGGAGACGACAAGGGGAGTGATTGTCGAAGGAGGAAATGGAGGCGAAGCAGCCAATTCTTCAGCGAAGTCCCCAACAAACAACAAGAACAACAGCCCATACAAAACCCAATCTGAAGAACCCTACACCTACTACACCAACACCAACAATAAGGATTCATATGTGACTAAATCTGACCCACAAGGCATGCGTGACACAAGGTTCACTGACAGAGGCTACACCACTGGAGGATTCCTTTCTTGGCGAATATAATATCGCCTACACCCTTTTTCTGATGAAAACCCTTTTTTTTTACTCACCCCACTCTCTCTCTCTCTCTTCCTTTCCCACCCCTAACCCATGTGCCCAAATTCTTAATATATTCTCCACCCACTTCTTAATATTTTATTTCGGTCATTCCTTCACTCACAGGAAACATCCACACCCAGCATTACATGATTATTTCGGTCATTCAAGCCATGCCTCCACTTGTTGCTGTCCGGATTATCTGCAATACAGAAGATCCAATGACCACAAATATGCAGAACCCAAGCACAATAGGACCCACTGGATAAGCACTTCCTTATCCGATTCACACACCATCCCTGGTTTTTCAAATCATTAAAAAAAAAAAAAAAAAACAAAACAAAACAAAAAAACAAACAATTTACAACTTTGCACAACACCCATACTTTATTCATCTCCGGGATCACCCCCGATCATAATTTTACACACAAAAAAAAAAAAAAAAAAAAAAAACAACAACAACAACAACAACAACAACAACAGCCTTGTTTTCTTTTCTGCAGCCGGCCACCAAATTACTTTTTATCTTTGCCGACCAAAGTTTGGTTGCCAAAAATTTATTTTCAGAGTCGTAGAGTTAGTTTTGGCTACTAAAATTATTTAGTTGCCGAATGAAAAATAAAAAATTACTTTTTATCTTTGCCGACCAAAGTTTGGTTGCCAAAAATTTATTTTCAGAGTCGTAGAGTTAGTTTTGGCTACTAAAATTATTTAGTTGCCGAATGAAAAATAAAAAATTACTTTTTATCTTTGCCGACCAAAGTTTGGTTGCCAAAAATTTATTTTCAGAGTCGTAGAGTTAGTTTTGGCTACTAAAATTATTTAGTTGCCGAATGAAAAATAAAAAATTACTTTTTATCTTTGCCGACCAAAGTTTGGTTGCCAAAAATTTATTTTCAGAGTCGTAGAGTTAGTTTTGGCTACTAAAATTATTTAGTTGCCGAATGAAAAATAAAAAATTACTTTTTATCTTTGCCGACCAAAGTTTGGTTGCCAAAAATTTATTTTCAGAGTCGTAGAGTTAGTTTTGGCTACTAAAATTATTTAGTTGCCGAATGAAAAATAAAAAATTACTTTTTATCTTTGCCGACCAAAGTTTGGTTGCCAAAAATTTATTTTCAGAGTCGTAGAGTTAGTTTTGGCTACTAAAATTATTTAGTTGCCGAATGAAAAATAAAAAATTACTTTTTATCTTTGCCGACCAAAGTTTGGTTGCCAAAAATTTATTTTCAGAGTCGTAGAGTTAGTTTTGGCTACTAAAATTATTTAGTTGCCGAATGAAAAATAAAAAATTACTTTTTATCTTTGCCGACCAAAGTTTGGTTGCCAAAAATTTATTTTCAGAGTCGTAGAGTTAGTTTTGGCTACTAAAATTATTTAGTTGCCGAATGAAAAATAAAAAATTACTTTTTATCTTTGCCGACCAAAGTTTGGTTGCCAAAAATTTATTTTCAGAGTCGTAGAGTTAGTTTTGGCTACTAAAATTATTTAGTTGCCGAATGAAAAATAAAAAATTACTTTTTATCTTTGCCGACCAAAGTTTGGTTGCCAAAAATTTATTTTCAGAGTCGTAGAGTTAGTTTTGGCTACTAAAATTATTTAGTCGCCGAATGAAAAACAAAAAATAACTTTTTATCTTTGTCGACCAAAAGTTTGGTCGCCAAAAATTTATTTTCAGTGACTAAAACATATTTTTCAGCGACTAAAACATATTTTAGTCGCTGCAGAGTTAGTTTTGGCCACTAAAATTATTTAGTCGCCAATGAAACATATTTTCAGTGACTAAAACATATTTTAGTCGCCAAAGAACTAAAATATTTGGAGGGAGACATTTAAATTTTAAAGGAATTTAAAAAATTAATTGGCGACCAAAATGTTTAGTCATGAATTGTGTAAATATATTTTGTTTCCAAACCAAACCCTAAAATAACCAGCGTCTCTCTCTCTCTCTCTCTCTCTCTCTCTCTCTCTCTTTTCTTCACCTCCCATCGCCGCCGATCTTTTCACGCCGCCACCTCTTCTTCCCTCACCGATCTTGATAGATCCACCGCCACCGCCACGAGATCTAGAGGCTTCGTTGGGTTAATCAGTTAGAAAAAGGCTTAAAATTTGAGAAAAATGAGAAGAAGATTAGACCTAGGGTTTCTTGCTCTGTTATTACATCAGACAATGGCAAAGAGACTTTGGTGAGTCATTTCCATTCTTTGATTAATCTTAATAGTATCCAATTTTGGGAAGTAGATACGTTTTTGCTTAATTACAATAGCATCATTTTCTTGTGGGTTTGATGTGTTTTTGCTATATGGATTTCAAATTAGAGGAAGGGTTGTCTGATTATGTCTTCACTCTTTAGTATACCCATTAAAATCTTAGTGATTTGAATTTCAATGGATATGTGTTTGTTGGATATATAATCTCATTTTTGAGTTTTAATCTAATTTTAGACCATAGACGCACCCCGGTTTGAGAGACGAAGAGCGAACCCAAAAAAATGTGGCTGCAATCATATTGGGTGGAGGACCAGGGACTTAACTCTTACCTCTTACAATTAAAACTACAACACCAGCTATAAGAAACTACTTCTAGTTTAGTGAGCCTGATTATATGACATTATTATGACTTTTTGGTTATGAGAATTATGAAATCATATATATGTATGTGTGTGTGTGTTGAGTTAATTCATGATCATCAAGGTAGCTTGTGTAAATATTAGAGATATAGCCTTTCTTTTCTTTCTTTTTTTCTTTTTGATTTGATTTTGGCATGTGAAGTTTCATACATTTATTGGAACAATAGTGATTGTATGGTGGTCAAAGTAGCTTATTTGGCTTGTTGGAGAAAGTAATCTTTTTTTTCCAAGCTAAATTTTTTGTTGTGGCTCATACTAATCATACTAATCCTCCAAATTTGACCTTAAATGGTTGATTTTTAAAAGATTTGGGATTTTATTATGCAATGAGATGTGTAGTCTACAGGTTCCACTTGGAGGATGCTATAGGCTTATAGACATACCGATGAGCAACTACATCAACAGTGGCATAAACAAGATTTTTGTATTGACCCAATTCAACTATGTTTCCCTCAACCGACACCTTGCTTGCACATATTTTGGAAATGGTGTGAACTTCGGGGATGGATTCGTGGAGGTACAAACTACAAACCCTTAATTGAGATATTTTTTATAAACATGAAAATCTAGAAGTGATGCCTTTGAAGGTTGGTGATGATCTAGTTAGATAAAATAAGAAAAAGATAAATGAATTGTACCTTAAGGCATGAATGAAGAATATAGAAGAAAAAAATATCACTATAACATTATACATGTTGTTGCCTCACCCTTTTTCATTAATTATTTTGTCACTAATCTACTTGCTAAATAGGTTCTGGCAGCCACTCGAACACCGGGGGAAGCAGGTATGAAGTGATTCCAAGGGAATGCAGATGCTGTAAGGAAATTTATTTGGGTGTTTGATGTGAGCTGAATAGATCAATTTTTGGGTTTTTTTTTTTTGGCAAATAGATTCTATATTTGGAGGTACTAGGAAGTTATTTCATCATCTTTCAACCTTGATAGAGGAGGAATCTGATGAATTTTATTTTTAATTTTGTTAATGTAAATTGTAAAAGTAAATATTACCACCCACTCCACCTACCATCTCCACTACCACCCACTCCACCTACCACCTCCACTACCACCTACACCTACTACCATCTTACCCTCTCTTCTATATATAGGAGTTGTAATCAATATATACATATCAATCAATAATAATACATCAATTTCTAACATGGTATCAGAGCAATAGGTTAAAGATCTTGGTGTTCTTCGCCTTCCGGCGGGCGGCAACCTTGCCTTGACCGCCCGCCGGATCTCAACCAATTCAAACCTCCCTCTCCCTCTCCCTCTCGGCACCTCACTGAAACACACCACCATTGCCATCACTCGATACATACACACACATCTCTCTCTCTGGTTTCAGATCTTTCACACAGATTTCTCTCCTCCTCTACCACCACTGCAGCCGGAGATCCAGAAGTCATGGACATCGAAGCCTTCTTAGCGACGACGATGGGATCGTCGATGATGTCTCAGTCCTTCGACGCCGATGAATCACTATGCGATGATGATGATGAGGTGTCGGGAAGAGGCGATGAACTGCTGTCGCCTCCTCTTCCGGCACCCTTGACTCCCTCCCGCCATTATCGCCACCATCACCACCACCGGAAACTTCTTCAATACCTGCTTGTACTTTGGATCCAACATCTGAACTAACCTCATCACGCTCTTGACTGACAACAAACCTGACGCAGAACTCTCTCTCTCTCTCAAAATCAAAATCAATGGGGAGCACTGAAGACCAGAGTAAACCCTCCGACCTCTACGCACCCATCTCTGACCCAACCACCTCCGAACCCGACCCATCTCAGTACCTCCCGATCTCCTACAACTATGGCCCCAGACCCATCACAAACATCCCCTTTTTGATCCTCTTCTCATTTCTAGTCGTGTGCACCTTCGGCTTCGGCATCTTCTCTTCCATCCATCGCAACTCCAATTCCTCCAAAGTCTCTCAGATCGGCCATGGCTTCATCCAAAGAGCGCGATAACTTCGTCTACATCGCCAAGCTCGCCGAACAGGCCGAGCGCTACGATGAAATGGTTGATTCGATGAAGAATGTTGCGAATCTGGACGTGGCATTGACGGTTGAGAAAGAAATTTGCTCTCTGTTGGATACAAGATTGTCCAACCCCGATCACATTCTCTCTCTCCAAAGACCCACACCACTCACATTTTTCGAATCTCTCTCCATTCCATGGACCAACATCATCATGTTGTACCCCACTCTGTCTCTCTCATTTTTTTCACTTTCCAACCCACCACCAGCGCACCTTCTTTCCCCTTTAATATATTATTATTATTATTGTTCTAATGCAACAATCTGCCCATAAATTGTTAAAGATTCCATAAAAGCCAAACTAAGCAATAAATTACCTCATATTTTCCCCTCCACCTCAGGCTGTCTTGCAATACCTTCTACAGCTTGTCGCACCGCAGTACCTTGACCAACTCCAGGTCCAACAGAAGCAAGTCCTATGGCCAATCCAGCGGCAATAACGGAAGCAGCAGAAATCAGTGGATTCAAAGCAACAACTACACTTGGTTACAATTTCACATTCGTTATTATATGTTTGCTCTAGGTTTTTTTGTTTTGGATGTTGATTAAACATACGAAATCTTCAGTTTAACAACCTGAAAATGAGTTACCCATAAATGTGGTTGATTAATAAAGAGAGCAAACAAGGATGTCCTACAAAGGAAAAAGTGGACAAAACCGATCCTAAACCTCACCCCCACACTCCATACTGAGAATAAATAAATATGAAAAGGCTACACAATAGCCAAAGAGCTACTTGAATAAATGATTTGTCCTTAAAACTCAGATCCGCTGACAAAGAGATTTAAAAAAAAGAACTACAAATTAGGTTGGGGGGGCCTTGGAATATATATGGCCAATAGACCACAAGATCACCTCAATCTCCTTAGGAGTTTAAAGATGCAGCCCTAAGACCGACACATCGAGGAACACGAGACTACATAAGTACACAAACACTAAATCGTCAAATCAAGTGTATATATGTGATTTTCAATTAATAAGCTTGAAGATCGACACATACACAAAGAAAGAAAGAAAAAAAGAAAAGATTCGAGTCTGTCCGTGATACAAGTTTGCAGTAACTAGGGAGGAGGGGAGGGGAGGGGGGAAAACGTTTTTTTTCATCAAGCAAAATGCTAAGAGAAAAAATATAACATCACAAAATTGCTGCTCCATTACAGATAGAAGCAAACCATCCACAATTCATGCATTAATCAATTCATGTTTATGAAGAATGTTGCCAACAACACATTAACACACTAATCACAACAAACAAAAAAAATTAGAAAACCAAAAGAGAGCAAATTTAAATAGATTGATTGAAAATGAACCACCAATTTAAAATAAAAAAGGAGAGATGAGGGAAGTCGGAAATCTTCCCGGAGCGGTGGGCAGGGTGAACACTTGAGTCACACCGGCATTGTTGGTATGGTTGTTCTTCCGAGCTCTAACATTCATTAAAGCCGACTGTCTATTGTTCCCACTCTCTCTTCTAAAGGTCGTCTCTCGTTCTGGCCCCTCACCCTGTACTATCGGGTAGCTCGCTTCGGGTCTTTGTCGTGGAATTGGGCCATCCTCCGCTCTCTACTTCCTCCGCTCTCCTTCCTCCTCTCCCTAAGCTGCGGAAAGCTCTCACAAAACCATCCCCTTGGGTGAAGACTTTACAGGAGAGGCACCGACGAGCCAGTTGAGGGTCGCAGCTGTGATAGAGCCGTTGTGAGGTTATGGTCGGTGGATTGGCTCCCGACAACCGTGATGCGTATTGGCGGAAGTTGTCTTTTTCGCCGCGGTGGGCGCTCGTTATGTGCTTCCTGTTCACTTGGGGAAACGTTGGTTCAAGTATGAAGGGTAGACGTGTATGCTGTGAACAATTTGGCTTGAGGATAGAGGTGGGGACTTGGCGTGGATTGTGTATCAGGTTATGGGGGCGTTGGCCGGATTTAGGTGGGTTCAGGGAGTCTCGACGGGATGCTCAGCGGTAGAGATTTATCGGGTTGAAATGAATCATCTTTATCAGAGTAGGATGTGACCGGTTGTTTGTGGGGATATGAGGGAACGAGATCTGAGGACTATCTGCTGTGGTAATATCTTTTCTCTACTCTGAGTATGAGTAGATAGCATTCACTGATCAAATATTCTTCATTAGTGGACCACAACAATAGGTTTTACCGAGTGTCACTTTTGCTGCTGTCTGGTTTCGGGAGCATTGAGGGTAATGGTCAAATCATACCGCGCAGTCTGTTTAGAAATTCTAACACTCATTAAAAATTCTCCATTAATATTATTTTAATTCTTACTTTTGTGTTTGGACATGGACGTCATTCACGAGTGCCTCTTTATTTTTAAATATAAGATTGTTATTTATCTCAGACACAGAATTATGTTTGTGACACTGCATTTGTCAAACACCGTTTGGGAGATTAAATAATATCCCCCTGCGCTCTTTGAAAAATGTTAGAACAAAATTATAAAGAAACCCCAGAATTTTAAAAATTCAACAGCTAGAGAGCATTCACACTAAAAATACAAAAATCTTTACTGACTTTTTCTGTGTATTCTTATATGTATTTCTTGGAATTAATTCTCTAAAATATTTCTTCTTTTTTTATCTTTTAGACGACATCTAAGGTAAGTGGAGTGCTATCTAAAAAGTAAAAAAAATTTGGTGATTTAAAATTTTTAAAAATATTACCTAAAAACAAAAAAATAACGAAAATTCAAAACTTAGTTTTCAAAAAATTTAATTCAGAAACTCAAACCAAACACACGTGATTGATTTTTCTTTTTCCTTCCC